AGGGTTGGCAACAGCTCGAAAACATTTCTTAAAAATACTTGCTCTTATTTAAATTTTAGAGACCATTTCCATATATTTCTCAAAAAAAAACCTTTTTATTTCATCGGCTGAATCTTGGTCGTATTTCTAATAATGCATCTATAACTCCATGTCCATATAAGAAAGACGTACGCCCAACTCTCTAGCTACAGGTCTCTAGCCATAGCTTTGAATGAATAAATGTATTTATCTTCCCCTTTATTGTCCATATTCAAGCAGCTGTTAAATATGTTTATTATTAACATAATATTATAATAATGGCTTTGATTGTTGTAGTTTAATTAAAGTGTGAATAAAAAGTGACTTTCGCAAAAGCCAGTCATCGTCATCACCTAAAAATTATTATCTGGAACTCCTCACATTAAGCAATTGATCCCGGCTGCATCGTACTTCTATATATAGGGCAGACCTGTGTTCCAGCTGCAGTGGGGACATTAAATAGATTTATTATGTACACTTAATATTATTTTTATGCTTAGTATTATTTATATACTTATTATTATTTTAATTTTAAGTGACAACCCTGTATCTCAAGAAAGCGCAGTACAGAACAAAGTTAGATTGAGAGCGAACGAACTGAGCGAACGCCCGCCCCCCGCCTCAACCCCCGCGCGCCTCCGTTATGAGTTTACGGCCTGTGATGCCTCCGCCACGAATATTGACGCCTCGGGAGCTTCACCTTCGGTCGCGGATTTTATTCCAGCGTAGACGGTGACGTCACAAAACCTTTCAATTTTATTTTTGTTATACTTTACATACACATTGGTTATTGGTTTTCTTTAGTTTCTTATTTATTCCTTTCACAGACAATTTTTTTATTTAGAAGCAAAAAAGGTGGGCAAAGGGTAAAAGACCCGTGGCCTAATTGTCTAATTCAAAATCTATCGCAATTCCCTTCAAGTTCATTTTAAAAGTTATATCGATTGTGCTAGTGATTTATGAAATTATGAAACGTCAATATTTATCAATTGCTTTCGAAACGAATGATGATTTGAATAATCAAAAACATAATTAAAACTTTAGTAATTTACAGTTTAAACTAAAAGTAACATTTGCATCTAACGGTAGCCTTAGTGTCAACTTAACGACATCGTTCTTTGAATATCTTTTAAAATGGCGGGCTCGCAATTGTTATCACATTTCAAATAATTGTAGCGTTAAGTTCGTGAATATCTTTCAATTGTCAGATTGAAAAGATTGCGATAGATTTTAAAATTAGACAATTAAGCCTATGGCGTTGGCCACTGCCCCTTTTTGGCCATACTGTATGCACAATCGTACAAAGGCGGACTTAATGCCTTAGGCATTCTCTGCCAGTCAACTTTTAGGTGTCGTGTAGATTAAAATAAACAATAAAGGTAGGTGCAAATGTCATCGTCGAAAAATTTTTTTTGGAATAATATGCACACATAATAGGAAGAAAATATATAACTACACATATACTTCATACATACATATACAATTTAATACATATTAATATAAATACAAGTACATACTTGAATGAATATTAAACTTAGAAGATATGAAAATTTTTTTTATATAATTCTGCCTGATTTAATATGAAATTGCGCAAAATCGTTTTAAAAGCAAACCGACTGGGGGACATCTGATGTCTGTAGGGAGTGTATTCCATAGGAGAATAGCTTTAACAAAAAAAATAAGAGTGAATGGCGTCAGAGTAGGACACATAAGTAATCTATTAGAAGATGATCGAAGATCTTTTATATGACTTGTATATAAGTACTGAAAGTATGGAGTGAGATAGCTTGGAGCATAAGGTGATTGTACCAAAGAAAACAGGGTTGATCAGAGCACGAACATCCCTACACTTTCGAATAGGCATCCAGTTCTAAGGTCTGTATATGACCACGTATCTGCCCAGTCCGATGGGCAGATACGTGGTCATTTACAGACAAAGAAAACGAATGGAATGCAGTTGTTTAAAACAAGGTCAAGTTTACTGAGTAGATCTACATTCAAGTGTATGTGTAAGTATGTCATCTTTACTTGTAATATTGGTCAAAGGAATTCTGATATAGGGCTCCCTTTAACACTCTATGCTTCTCTTCAGTGGCCATGTTAAAATGTACACAGTAACATACATATGTATGTAGTATTTTAATACATTATCTCGCGGCACGTAAGTAACGTGCGAGGGCGAGATGAGATCCAAGATGGCGCCTATACACTTCTTAGCGGGAACACAGTTTCGGCGGAAAAAGATGGAGATGGCTTGCCTACTCGTAAATCACTTCATCCTTTAAGGACGAGCGAAGGTTATTGAGCTACAATGCCAAGTGTGCGGTGTATTTTCTAATTTTTTTAATTCATGTATTATATATTTTTTTAAGTTTTAATTTTATGTTTTGTAGAGATATTAATATTTATTATTATATTTGATCAATTTGAATTCACAAAGCTATACTGGACAATATTCTTAATGAGAAATGCTTTAAAAAATTCACTTTGTCCCTGGCACTCTGAGATGAATATTGAAAATAGGTTAACAACTCGCGTAAATATCGGTGAACATACATAAAAAAACATACATCCCCGTCGAACATATAACCTCCTCCTTTTCGATTTTAATGTCGGTAAAAAAGTTGCCCTTTCTTGCCGGTTCTTCTCAGTACAAGTTCACAAGCCGTAGATTAGTGAACTAGTGGCATAGAATTTCGACTTACACTAGTAGCAACAACAGCCTAAACTGATATAAGATTTTGTTCTTGACTTTTAAGTTAGATTAAAATGTGCTTGAGGAAGACTGTCTCGGAGCAACTCAATTGGTAGAGCAATCGCCCAGTAATGGATTCCTCCTCGAACAGTATTTTTTTTATAATATAAAAAGAGGTTTGTTGAATTAATCAAATAATTTATGAAATCTATTAAAAAGGGGACCTAATCCTTTTCTGACGTCGCTTCAAATAGAATCCATCTCCACACAACACAGCCGCAAGTACACGAAGTTATAATATCGCTGCTTCCAGTTTTCGCGGGGGTTTTAGGGGGCCATGAGTAGAAGAGGGGGGGGGGGGGGGGTGATAACTCGCTACTTCATCGTTTGCTTATTTACATAATCCTATCCTATTAATATTATAAAGGCGAAAGTTTGTAAGTATGGATGTATGGATGTTTGTTACTCTTTCACGAAAAAACTACTGGACGGATTTGGATAAAACTTTACAGCAATATAGGTTATACATCAGAATAACACATAGGGTACTTTTTACTGGGAAAACTTCTCACTCCCACGGGATACCGACTTCCACGCGGACGAAGTCGCGGGCGTCCACTAGTTACGTATAATTCTCAGCTGCGTTACGTTAATATGAGAACGCGCAGGGCAATTTCACTAACGTCTCCGTCTTGTTTACTTACTTTGAAGAGACACTCAAGGAAACTGAACGTACAATTTAAGACAGAATATCGTATTTAGTTTTATGTTTAAATATCTATCTAATGTTATTTAATATTATATTCTTCATAATTATACATTCTATGTATATTAATTCTATTTTTTTAAGATTTTTATTTCATGCTTTTTAGTGATATTGATATTTTAATATAATAGGTAACACTAAAAATACTTTTACACCGAAAGCACTTACTTTCAAAAGAAAAAAAAAGAAGAAAGAATCGGAGAAGGATCGGTTCACCGTGTAAAAAGTTTTGAGGTAACAAATATCACGCATACTTAATGCAAATTTATGACTTATATGGTTTTCTCATAGATGCATAATGCCATTGCCAGATCTGGACTTTATTAAAATGGGACCACACGGTACGCAACTAGCTTTCAAATAAAAATAAAAAAACAAAATCGGTCCGCCCAATAAAAAGTTATGAGGTAACAAACAGAAAAAAAATACAGTCGAATTGAGAACCTCTTCCTTCTTTTTAAAAATTGCGATCAATTTCCAGATTTGTTTTGTTTATTTAAAATTACGATGACTTTAGCTGTAAATGGCTGTATCACACACTCCATACATCCTTACACTCCATGACTTTTATATGAATTAAAGTTGCAATGAGAGTGGATAAAATGAAATTTAACTAAACGTATTATAAGCTTCGGAAGAGGTTGTTAACATTCAAGAAGTAAGTATTATCCCAATTCCACAATGAAAATAAAATATCAATCAAACCTTCATGCCGTATTCTGCTCGGAAGGTAATGAGAACAAAGCGTCATAGATTATACACCCTGCATCACGTGGTGACACGCATGTTTATATACTAGCTTTTTCAACACAGGACAGGGTTTATATAACTCTCACAAAAGGGTAAGGAAAGCTTTGATCACGTCTACTTTCTCGATATTCATATTCATGTTTATACGCGTTCACCTGCTTTATGGTTTTCTGCCCTGACCTTCCAATATAACTACGTCAATTTAATCGTAATAAGTATGCCTTAGCTTCACATTATACATATTTCCTGTACGGTGTACCGCACATATTGTGCTGTTCGCAGCGCCTTTATGGTTGCCGCGGATTTGTATTATGACGAGTAAGCATTTGTGTATACTGTCGCATTTGGCGTTAAAATATATCAGTTCGAATATTGTAACCATTCGACTCGGTTGTATCATTTTCGTCTCCTTATACTATTTCCTCAGAACATCCTCCTTATCATTCTATCAGCTATCAATCCTATCAATTATCATAGTTATCAGCTATCAATTAAATGTGTAAGGCTACCCCCTACATTTCCACTTTTGCATTGTAAACCACGTATTCGATCCAACAGCCTCTTATTCAATTATAAATAAATAATCTATTGATTAACCATGGGTTGCACTGTGCAATTCGTTTTGAAATAAAGCAAAGAGTCTTTAATCTAAAATTTTATATCAAAGAGAAACTTGTTTATGAATTGTATGATATATTGACAGAAACGAATTTCGGGGACTTTTTAAATGTGTTTTTATCAGTTTACAATGTTTATTTATAAAGTTTAAAAATGGATACAGAAGAAAAACAGAAACCACCTAGCCCCTTCCAATTTGACATGTTTTTACCGTGGGCATGTCATCAACTACAACTCAAGGAAAATTTAAATCTAAGGAAAATCCAAAGTAAGTAAAAATAACTCAATTAAGTTATTGTCTCACTTAAATAATATATAACTTAAATAAATCAGCCCTTATGTTAAGTTTTATTTAGAGGCTTTGATTTAAGTAGATGCTTCTAGCATCTAATGATTCTTCATCATAATGACTCAAAGTTGTCATAGAAGCTTTCATTTTACTATAACTACATATTTTACAACTAAAATACTCACCTAGTTTGAAGTATTCATAACGAGATCTAAGGAAAATGATGTTATTGTCGCATTATAAGTACATGTGTCTTTTTTCTTGTAGCTGACAACATTGCCATCACTGGTACAGATAGACTCAAATCAAAAACTAAATCTAGAACAGATCCTGATTTTTTTTTTCAACAAGAAGACCAAGATTCCCCACAGACGCTGACAGCGAGCCGTCGACACTCTGACATCCAGGTCATCGCTATATACGACACAGCGGATCATCTTATAAAACTACAGTTCCAAAATAATAAAAAGATTCCAAGACTTATATTTAAGATCATAAATTTGATAATAAAATATTACGAATTCTTGAATAACATTACAATCAACAGAGGTATAGATGAATATACTCTTTATGAAATTGGAAAATTTTTACCTTATTCCAATATAACAGATATTTGCTTAGATAATACCTTTCTCGAAGAAGGCAACTATCACCTACTACTAGAGAACAGATCAATGTTACGGTATCTATCTTTAAGAAGATGTAGTATAAACGACAATGTTATCGAAAGATTAGCAACTACATTGATGTATCCTAACGCTGGCTCCAGATCCCTATCAATATTAAATTTAGCGTCTAACCGAATCACAGATGTAGGTGCAAAATATTTAGCTGGTGCTCTACGATCTAATAGACAGCTGAGCTATTTGAATTTGGCGGATAACAGCATCACAGATATCGGAGCATCATGTATATTAGACTCCTTGTTGAAGTTCCCTCTAACTTTTACTGAGTTGATCGCATCTAGATCCCGGCAAATGAATTATTTGAAAGAAAAAAATGATCACATCTTGCGAATCGTAAAAGGTCTTCAAATAGGTGAGCTCGATAAACGCATCAATAAGAGGAAATTGACAAAACCTCAAACTGCATCCGCCAAAACACGCACTGAGAGAGAGAGCCTCTCAAAACTTGCTCCGTCTTCAAAGAGCCTGACTAATATTAATCAAGCTTTAATTGAAAAGGCTTCAAATATGGCAGACAACTTATTAGGTGCATTCACCGATCCTTACGATAAACAAAATACTAAAGCCAAAGATGCTATAGTATATTGCCATGGCAATAATAGTCTTTGTAGCTTAAACATAGCGTACAATAATTTATCTTATGTTACTCTCAAGAAATTATTGGCGGTTCTAATATATCAAAGAGAAATGGGACGAAAACCTAAAGGTTTGATCAATGTGACCATTGAAGGTAATAATATGCCTGTATATTGTGGAGAATTTGATCAAATAAATAATATAATAAGAGTCGGTTTAATGTCAGTAAATAGAAGAATATCTGGTGGTAAGAAGCGTTCTCCCGCTAAACCTGGGATGCGTTAGTTTATAAATATAATTTGTATTTATTTTTAATATATTTTAGATATTATTTATTTCATATTTATCCTATTATTAAAAGTTACTTTATTAATATTAATATTACTTTCTATATATGATTTGATTTGAGTTTTGTGAACTGTTTAAACTATTTTTAATGTTAAATTATTTTGTTTAAAGTTATTGTATAAGTTATTATTACATCATTAAAGAATTATGTTAATGTTGTTTTAATTGCTCTTTGGAATTTTGTTTACTGCTTGCTCCATCGTGAAATTGAAAATGCAGTGAGATTTTATATATTTGCTACTTATTATAAATATAGCTATAAAACACATATAGAACACACGAGAACTAGATGACACGAATAAGCATGTTTATTTTACTTAATTTCTAACTGAAGCGTAACAACGCCTAACTATTTCAAAACTAAAAAGTTTGTCTAATTATCAAACCATAGAATTTACATATTATAATAACTCTGTTACGTAATTATGAAACAAGCGTATAAAAGTCTTTAAGCAAACATAATTGGAACGCAAAAGTCTAAGCAAAGAAGTCGGAGAAGGTCAAAATAACTCATTAACAGTGCTATTCATGAACAAGGTTTAACGTCAGAGTAAATTTACGCTAAAATTGTAATTTTAGTATTAGTCCGTATTCATATTACACAGAGAATAATCAAATGTACTACCTTCTAGGAGCAAATATGGTATTAGGTAACCAACCTCGTATTAGGTAACCTTTGTTAAGTCTCTATTTAATAATATGAATTTTGACTAATACGAAGAGTAGTTTCAGCGTAAATTTACTCTAACGCTAAAGCTTGTTTATAAGTAGCACTATAAGGATAAAATTGTGCTTTTGTTGAAAGATGTCCATAAAAGTCCACGAGCACAATATGCTCTATAGACATTGTATGATCTAAGTCTTTATGAATCAAATCAATTAGATCACATAGTTCCAAAGTAAAATACCTACAATCTAAAATAAATTACTTTAATATCAATCAGAGGCTCTGTTTTGGTTTTATGTGGTTATCTATGATAATATTACCACAGAGCATATTTTATAGAAAATATACATATTATTCTGTGCAATTTTTCTGTCAATTTTCAGGAATTTATTCTAGTTTTTTTCATTTCGACAATTTACATTCTTATTTTGCTATAAAAATGGTGGAAGACGAACCGCAGAGACCAAATCCGACAGATTTCGATATATTCTTACCCTGGGCTTGCCAGCAATTGCAATTACACACGATGGTTCAAGTCGTCAGGGAGGAACAACGTAAGTTGTTTTCTGCGTATTGGACAAGTAAATTATAGTTGGGTACTATAAAATTACAATATTTAACAACTTCCACACATAAAACCAGCAAGATACTGTACATCATCATCATCATAACCAGCCTATAAATGTCCCTACCTGCGAGGCTCAGGCCTTCCCTATGGATGGAATCGATTCAAAATGAATAAGCAGAATGGGTCATGATTTACCACCCGGGCCCGGACCTCGCATATCTGTGCCCTTTCAGCGAATTAAACAAGTGCACAAATGACATAAATCTTGCAACCACGTGTTTCACTTTTCCACAGATTATCCTTGTTAGACCACCGCCACAGTGCCAACCGTGCCAACCTTTTGTTAGTACATGTTACGTTATAGCGAGCTACGGGTTTCCGAATGTCGAGCACCGTTAAACAGGGAAAGAATTAAATAGGAATAGGGGTTAAAATAGGGAATGTTACGCATAGCCCATCTTAAAAGTCGAGTGCATGCAGAGACGTGCGAGTCATCCATTAATTATTTACCTGCCGCCCGCAGCACAATTTTTGTAATGTTTCATGCACATCGCCGTGGGCTGTACTAATAATAACCTTGCTTGAGTATAAGTCTTGTACATATACCTTGCAAGTTCTAACGGTTATTGCTAGCTTTTACTAACAGTTTCTCCAGCATTAACAAAGGAGAACAACTAAGTGTTCTTTTTTCAGCTGCACAAGTAACTTATGTCAAATCTGTTTTTGTACAACATATAACAGATATGTTAAAAGGCTTTGCAGTATTAAAATGTAAATTTATATCAGTTGAGAAATTTACTGTAATATAACCAAATTCAAGAGACAAATATAAGTGATAGGAATAAAGCTGATAAGTAATTTTCCTCAAATATTATTTTACAGAAGAGTACGTGAGCGCAACAACATCTGAACGTACAAAAGTCAAAACGAAACCCAAAGCTAAAGAAGACACACAGACCGATCTCGATTCAGAAGTAGACCAACTCAACAGGATGCCAGCTATTACTTACGAAGACATCTTATACATCAACGCTGTTTACAATTACAATAACAACTTGGTGCAAATTAAATTCGCCAACACATGTACGATACCGAGACTTGTCTTGAAAATAATAGGACTCATAATCAAATACCACACCCACTTAACATCCATCATTATAAACAAAGGTATCAACGAATATAGCATGTATGAACTTGGTAAGTTGCTTCCTCTCTCCAACATAACAGATATATGCTTGGATGGGACTTATTTGAAAAATGCTAACTATCAATTATTGTTTGAACAGCAAAGCTCTATGCGTCAATTATCATTAGCCAGATGTAGCATAGATGATGTTGTTTTAGAAGTTATTGCTAATGCATTAATACATCCTTCTCCTGCATCTAAATTTTTATCAATATTAAATTTATCATCAAATATAATCTCAGATTCGGGAATTATATCACTAGCTAATGCATTGAGAACAAATAGGGCTCTAAATTATCTGAATCTTTCTAATAACATGATAAGTGATCGAGGTATGACATGTATACTGGACACATTAGTAAGATTTCCTCTGTCATTATCTGAGCTTGTCGCTTCTAGGTCTCGACATATAGAATTTATGAAAGATAAAAGTGAACGAATAATGAATTTAGCAACAGAATTACGTTCATATGATATTGATAAGCGATCTATAAAACAAAAAAGTATGAAAACTCTTAAAAAGGGTAAAGTTTTAACAGAAAGAGATACGTCTTTGAAAAACATTAATGAAATAGATAATTCAAACCAAGAGGCATTGTTTGAAAAGGCAACAGCCATAGTTGAAGCTACCTTAGGCTCTTTCAAAGACCCTTTTAATAAGAACAATACTTTTGTAAAAGACAATATAACTTACTGTTTTGGAAATAACAGCCTTTACTATTTAAATGTATCTTACAATAATTGGAGCTATTTGAGTTTGAAGAAGTTGTTGACCGTTCTGATATATCAGAAAACGATAAATAGAAAACCTAGGGGCTTAATTAACTTGTCTATTGAAGGTAATTTAATTCCTGAACATTGTAAAGAGTTGTCGTTAATAGATTCACTTTTAAATGAATGTCTGTCTTTGATTCAACGTGATGTAACCATACCAAAGAAGAAAACATTAACCAAAACGAATAAATAGTTAATTTGTTATTAGTTTAATTTTAGAATTTACTGTAAGTTTAGTTTTAATTTGTTTGTATCTAGCTTTAGTTTCGGCTCTAATTTTATTTGTATAAGGTTTTTATTTTAAGATTTATTTAATAAATAGATTTCGTTGGTTTTAATTTTATTTTTAAACAGTATATTCAATTGAAACAGAGTTTAGTTAAAGAGTTAATTATTATATGAATCACGTTAATCGTTAAATAATAATCTCAATACTGTTCATTTAGACTATAAGCGCACAATCAACGTCATAATTATCGAAAAGCCGACGGTGATCAAAAAAACATAAAGTATAGTAGTTTAAAAATATATTAATAAACCAAAGTTGCTCAAATAATCTTATCGGAGTGATCAAAATTCTTGACACCCTTGGTTTAATTTTATCTACCAACTAACACATGATTTAAATCGATCCGACTCTATAAAACACTATTCAACTGTATGTAGTATTTCTAAATTTGAAGAAATAATGCTAAGCTATAAATCAAAATTATTTAATCAGACTAGGCTGTTACAAGCACTCGTAAAAGTCGAGAGCTACGCCATCGGTTCGTAAATCTACTGCGGGAGACCTTGAACCGAGAAAACGGGTAAGAAATTCGGCAAGGGCTGCTTTTTTCACCCTGTTTTGTTACATACAGAGCGTCAAGATTGAAAAATGACTTCATTAAAATATGAATTCACTTTCCTTACAATATTAGAAACAGTATTTTCGTCAATCGAATCACATGTCTAGTCAAACAAGCTTACCGATAAATAATTTAATATACATAAAAATAAGCCATATTCAACACCAAGCAGTTTTGTCGTTTAAATATTCATTAACAATATAATATCCTTTACTGAGTAGACAATTCTTAATATGGGTTTAAAATTTAGGCAATGGTAAGTTTAAAATTTCAATGGGATTTTTTTTTATAGTAGTGTATACCTTGAATGTATTACCCATAAATGTTGATAGAACCTTCTTTAGCCTGCATGACGGCAAAACAAGTTTATCTTTATTTCTAGTTATCAAATTGTGTACATGACTATGTTTAATGTAATTCTTAATATTTTTTCTTTCTTTTTCTTTTCTTTTCTTACAAAGTAAAGGGTATTATACCGTTAAGGAATATCTAAATGACAAAAAGGCATGGTGTTAGATATTTTAACTTTGTTGTATTTACTTTCTAATATTGTAATGGAAAGTGACTTCATATTCTAATGAAGTCACTTTTCAATAAGACTTCTCTGTGTGAAATAAAACAGGGAGAAAAAACAGCCCTTGCTGAGTTTCTTGCCGGTTCTTCTCAGTACAAGGTCTCCCGCCGTAGTTTTGCAAACCGAAGGCGTAGTTTTCGACTTTCACAAGTGCTCTGTAAAAGCCTAAACTGAATAAATAAATTTTGATTTGATTGATTTGATTTGATTTTGTTTATTTTCTCTTTTCTTTTGCAGGCTATTTAAGATGACTATATAGGTCAAAACTCTTACTCAAACTTAAATATTATCACTATATATACAACCCTATTATTATTATTCCTGTATCCATAATTTATTATTATTATAACAATTGTATATCAATTGAGAGGCTACTGTTAATATCCCAGTTTCTTTGAATTTATCTCTAAGTTATGTCCTTGAACCTAATTGATAAATAGCCCTTACTGTTTTCTTTTTTGTAAAATAAATATCTGCAGCCATACCCCACATCAGAATGCCATATGAAATAACGCTATGGAAATAACTTAAATATACTATCCTAACAGTATCTACATCTATGAGTTGCCTAATTTTTCTTATTGCAAAAACAGATGAATTTAGTTTTTCTGCCAATAATGAAAAGTGAGGAAGCCATTGCAATTTAGAATCCAGCGTTACACAAACGAAAATTGTAGAATCAACCAACTCTAGCTTTTCATCATTAAGTTTAATTTCTGTTAGATCATTTATAGATTTAGTTTTTTTAGCAATTAACTGGAGATTATTTACAGTAAACCAGGGGCGCGACCGCCTAACTCATGGACGTAGCCGTAGTCGTAGCTATAACCTACGCTTTATCGGTATTTCTTATGAATCTGTTTATATTCTTTTTAAATTAATTGTTTTTTTTTTATTTCTATATTTTATGAAACATTTTGGTTTGATTTTCTTTTCGAAATAGCGTTATTTGAATCAATTCAATATTTTGTAAATTTCGTTTAACTTTAATAATTCAACAAACAAAACAACTAAAAGTATTAATTAAATATGTAAATTATAAAAAATGAATTATTTTAAAATCAATATCAACAGATTCATGTGTAAAACCTATAAAGCGTAGGTTATAGCTACGACTATGGCTACGTCCATGAGTTAGGCGGTCGCACCCCAGGTCATGATCTGTGAGAGAGCATTGTTTACATCGTCAAAGTCATTTTTACATCTATCAAATTTAAATATTTTAGAAGTATCTTAATAAAGAATTATATTTTGATCAATTTACGAACTTAAATCAAAGTGCGTAGTCCATGAAATATCACCGACTGGTACCTACTCGTACTACCGACTTTTGTGTCACCGTGATTTTTTGTCTCATTTTTTTCAATTTATGTTAGTAAAAGTCGTAGGAAACCAATAAATGCGATCTTTTGTTCTCTTCGATGATGAAAATACATCAAAGTATTTTTATTATTTGTAAACTGCTTTTCACGACTCCGGACACCTTAAATTTGTTAAAAAAGCAATAACGGTAAAATTCAATGTATGTAATAGCTGTTTTCCCGCGACTTCTCCTACGTAAATTATAGCCTGTCATCCGCGTATGATTATTGACAGAAAATATAATCAACACATCTATTAATATTATAAACAGGGAGATTTGCTTGTTTGCATCCGAAACTAGTGGACCGATTTTAAAAATTCTTTTACTCACGGTTAACTACTGTATACATGACATGGCTCTAAATTACGAGAACGGACGAGTATAACTAGTACTCAATAAAAAAAAAAAAAGTGTACATAGATACAAAAATAATTCGAAAATTCATACGTTATTCGTTCCACACCTTTACATTCAAGACGCTACAAAGACGTTACGAATCGGCACAAAATTCGCGGCGAAGTACAGGAGGGGCGCGGGCGGCGGGGGTGCGTCGATATTCGCGCTCGGAAGCCATCTTAAAATATAAGAGCCTCCCCCTCCAACGCGCCTCCTTAGACGCTCGCTTTTTCCGCCGCGTTGGCGCGCAGGGGTCGACAACATTGCGCGAAAGGGTGGTAGGTACTTTTTTAATAACCTTAACATACAACGTTGCATTTCTCTTGTAAAAAATAATGGTGTTTTGATAATTATATTGCAGGCTGTAATGGTAGTTGTAAGTTATTATAAATATATAATATAAAAAAAAAGTATTTCTAATTCGAAGGTAAGTCAGATGTCTTAACTGAAGTATATGATATATCTATGTTTTGTTCTTGAACAGTATGATAGAGGTATACTTGTAATTAGGTACCACTAATAATTTATAATGCCCATTGTTTTCTACCGCTGTTTTAATACACATACATAAAAAAATATTTCTTTGGATTAAATTTAGAATACCTCTGATCAAGGCGGATAGAAGAGTATTATTAAAACATATAACAGTTGGATGTTTACCATTGCTCAAAAACTATGAGCCTTATTAGACGTATGTGACCTTATCTCCGTTTAGTTTTACCTCTATTATTGATTTTTTTACACATATTTGTTTTTTATGTGTTATGTTTTTTTTTATGCAGCCAATTATTACTATGCAAATATCATATTCGTTTCCAACCCATTGTTTCTCATACAATTGGGCTGGTTTAAGATAAAGGTATTAAAATTAAAATAGGAGACTATTTAAAATAAAAATAAAAGTTTCCCTTGTTGTTACATAGTATATCTTTGGTCGGTCTTTGACTTATGCTAATTGTACCATTCGAAAGCGACATAAGTCATTTTGACCAAAAATTATGCCACCGACCAGGGATATATATATACATACAGTAGAACAAGAAGTTACCTTTTTTATTTATACATTTATTTGTCACACTATAGCTATAGACACATAATGCAATTATACTGAATAAAAAATGCGGAATGTATAAATCTGCTAAAAATAGCATCAAATGGAATTCATAGGTACATATAAATATTAGATAATATAACAAACATTAGCTTAGATCCCAATTAGGTAGCTAAAGCACTTATAATATGGAAATCTAAAACAACGAAGGTAAAAGAACCACGAGACGCCAAACGGTATAAAAAAAGTTTATTTTCTACATTAACCGACCGGGAATCGAAGCCGGGACTTTAGAGATGGCGACGCTTTGTATTCCAGCCACTTAGCCACGAATGTCATTATAATTGCCAATACAAAAAGAAAATAATCGCTTCTCTATGCCTGTATGCCTTTCCCCTTTTAATATCTTACACACCTAAGTTCCACCTTCACTGCATTTTTAGGAAAATTCCCCTCCAATTACTATTATAAAACTGCCATCTTGGAGATTATAAATTTCTTGCGAACCGAACCCGCAGGAGCTAAATCAATACGGCATTAACTCACACACGTGCACCCACACCGATGCACAAAAACTATTGAAATGAAAATATAAGTCCGCACACTTAAACGTTACACCCACACAGTTACAGGTAGGTACACGAATCGCGACCCTACCTCCTACCACCCGCCACCCCGCTTACGCCTTAGACGTTGGCTTTTTACATGAGTATAAGCAGCCGCGCAGGGGTGCGCAACATTCGGTTTCAATTTAGGAATTCTGGGGTTAAACTTACGAGGTATTATACTAATGAACTATCTACCTACACATACCTACGCACTTGATACGATCAGTTTTGAAGTTGCGGAATCTTCGCTTTAGGCAATTAGTTATTCGGATTCTCCGATATTAAGTTTTAATATGTTAGTTACGTTTACTGTTAAACTATAGATGGTTTATTTTTATAAATGTAAATGTTAA